AATTACGTCTAATTAATATTTCCTATACTTTATAGTTTTTCGAACTAATAATAATAAGATAATTACCATCTCGAATTCTTTTAGTAGTGATTGAAAAATCCTAGGCTAGAATAGTATTGAAGGTAGCTCTATAAGAGCTAGTAACACTAGGGTAGAATAAAGCTGTAGTGATAGTATTCCTGCAAAGGTCAGATGAAAACACGGAAACTAGGCATAGCCCTTAATATATTTGTGTCAGCTCAGCTCTTGGCATGTATGACCCACCAAGCGGTAGGCTAAAATCGGCTATATGCTGACACGCATTAAGCCCTTGTAACACTTGGCGCACCTTGTAGCACTTATCGTAGAGTGCGGCTAAGCGCCGCTAAGCTTAATATTCTCCATAGGCTGCAAGGCTGATGTATTTGATTGGAGACACGTCAGTATGCATCCAGCTCTACTAACTTAAGATATTACGGCATAGCCTAGAGACGGTTGTACAACAGAGCGGGGTTCGCAGGACAAGGATTCCGGCGGGTAAGCGCTAAGCTTAACATCGTATTCGTAACCATCCTAAAACTAAGGGTAATATCAGCGGTCACAAATCATATATACAACCCATACATATTATAGTAAGCAGGACCGGTAACGATCTCTTCCCAGCTGCGCCCGCCAATCGAGTGGTCCGTGGACCAAGCACTCTTTATACTAGTGATTAGGGTAAATGTTCAGTAATAATCGGTTCGGTAGATCGATCGCTCTAGTATCTTATAATAACTGTAGTGATTATCACGCGGCATAGTTATAAGACACACTAATGCATTACAACCGTAATAGGACCCTTATCAGAACTGGAGAACAGAGCAGTAATTCTCCATCCCTGCTGCGGCAATCTTATCCTCCGCAACTTCCGCTTCACTCTTCCGTGCTTTTTTGGCCTTCGCTCCCGCTGAGTCTAACACAGGGCCTTTACGCTTCCGACCACGTTTTCCTTCAACTACCGCGGCTTCTTTGACAGCCTCTTTAGCAGCAAGTTTAGCTTTTGCCTTGATAATATCGTCATAGCTCATCACTTTCGCCTTCCCTACCACTGTTGACTTGGTCGATTTGCGACGTTTGCTCTCGTTGTTCTGTTGGAACAAGAGTTGGTTTTAATCGAGAAGGAGGGCACACTCAGCAAAGGATACTTGGGCGGCGTTGGCTAGCTTCTGTAGGCGCTGTTTGCTCCTCGCATCAAGCGTATGAGCATCCTGTTCGACTCGGTTACGTAGCGACATAAAAGCCTCTGCCGTCACCGGCGTTTGCAGTAGTTCTTGCGAACAAGGCCCCACCTTGACCTCATCGGTTTTCGGAATGGTTAGCTCGGTAAGTGGCTTCCGCATATCCCTTAGTACCCTATCCGGGTTAAACGGATACAAACCAGCCTTCATCCACCCTGATTTAATGTTCTTTGGAGTGAGCGCCTTTATTCGTGCGGGACTATAGAGAGACGTAAAATGCTCCTTGCCAACTGTACTTGCACCTCCTCGATACAGTCTTTCAACCTGTTCGCGATAGGCTGTCTTTAGTGGGCCGAACACTCCGATGTCACAGGGCTGTAGTTTGTAGGAGGTATGAGAGGGAAGGCGGTATAAAATAATGTTGTTCTCAAAACAGTACTCCAACATCTGGAGCGACTCATGCGTCCCGAAGCCGTCGCAAATTAGAATCCGTAGATTCTGATACGCCCGTGATTTAGTTTGGGGATTAAAGACACGTCTAAGCCAGTCCAAGCTAATCTGAGAGTCGGTATATCCAGACTCAGAGCATGCGTAGTGCCATCCAGGGGTGGGATACGTAGTCCAGTTGCTTCGATGGGTCGAGGCTGGCCAGACGATCAGCGGGAGGAGAGACCTACCGTCTGCAGATATGCATTCAATCGCAGTTACCATCGTTCGCTTAACGCCTGTGCCTCTATAACCTCGCGGGTCGTCCTTGCCTACTAGGACTTTAAGGGAAGCAAGTAAGCTTAACATGACTCCCGTTTCGTTCATATTATAGACATTCTCCGGCTTAATGACCGGGTCATGTAGCTCCTTCCCAATGACCTCAAACCAGTGTGTAATCTTATCGTGGATATTGATATCATGTCGCTTCCAATCTAGCGCTTTGACTTTCTTCGCTTTAAGCTCTGAATAGCGTTTATAGAAGGCCTGAGGCCAGTTCTTGCCTGGAGGGTGGATCGCTTCGCCTGTCGTAGAGGCATGAAGGAGAGAGGAGCGCCGGCGCGCGATAATGCATGCTAGCGAACGTAAATATTTGATTGGAATAGGATACCCGTTACGAGACATTCGTAATAGATACTGAACGAGGGCTTTCTCTTCCAACGGAGTAAGGTACTGTTAGCTCTCCGCCTTTTCCTCTTTAGAGGGCCGTCCATGTGCACGGCGCCATAGGGTAGAGCGAGGTATCTTACCCCGTTTTGACAGGGCAGCGTATGTTCTAGGCTCCGAAGGATCAAGCCCCTCCGAGAGGACTTCACTGGCGCGATTCATATTAGTTTACAATGGCGATGGTGATAGGAAAGGGAATGGATAATAGGCGGCACCAGGCATCAGCCCAAGGGGACACGTAGCTGCCCATGGAAACTTCTAGAACCTGCGCCACACTAATATTACTTTTGGTATAGCGTAGCATACAATACGGTTGGCTTGATTTCGATACAGTATAATGTAAGCGAGCATCTCTAGCTATGTCTTGGCGCGAATCACCCTGTCGATCGGCGAAACTCTCGGAATGCTGGACATCAAGGGCTGAGGTTTAGAAAAGCTTCTAGGATAATTCTGTTTTTGTATAAGTTCCGTAATATTGTTCCGAAATTTGAAGAACTTCTCACATTCGGGACGCAGTAGGGGGATAAAGTGCGAGGGCTTCTCCATGCTACGAAAGGATCGGCTGGAAGCACAGCAAAGATCGCCGTAATTTTGGTATTATAGTATAGGAATTAGAGGAGAAATAGCTAAAGAATGAACTTACGCTAACGGTAAATCTATAGGTTCTGGAGGGGAGACTTAATATGTTGATTAGTCGAAATTGTTTCGGCACGGTGGGTTTTTCGCCACGCAGGGAGGGACGTTATATTGTATAGGGCAAGAACTATATTGGTCCGTTACATAATACTTAATGTCAGCCAGGATCACTCCGATAACTCTCGTTTTTTCAGCCTTATTACACCACACGTTTATCCACTGCAAGGGAATAAGGATCTTAAAGAGAAAACGTGTTCTTTTAGATAGCAGCATATATACCTCCATAGGTAGTAGTAATTTAGGGGGACAAGCGGCGTCCAATTCCTCGCGCCCAGCTTCACACTTAAGTATACTTGTTGTTCGACTGTTGTTCCTAAACCGCAATTAAAAGCTAAACAAAAAGCAACTAAATAGCTTAAACAAACGTTTCATTAAAATACGTCTGCCTGTTAATTTTTTTCAAGGTAACTTCTACTCTTTAAATAAGCCTCTCGCATCTTCCTTCACATGGAAACTTAACATATTTCAAAACCATGTGGTAAAGCGCGACCATGGTTTCGTTCGAGGCGAAAAGCTAACCTAAATACGCTTATTTGCCATAAAAGGAAGCAGGATGCTAGGGCAAAGTGGTAACGAACTCCCCTTTATTCTAATTTACAGGAGATCGAAGACTTAGAGATGGGGTGTAAGATCCTGTCTTGAGTTGACGTTGCATGAGCCGGGATAAAGCGGGCCTAGGATTTGCGTCACACTGAATTGTTGGTGGAAGGGGGAATGAGAAAATGTAGCCTTGTGGGCTAGATGCTTAATTCTTGAATATTACGTGAAGCTTTTTTGGCGTGTCTACTGTGACCGCGTCTGTATATATCCCTTAAACGCCGCAATTTTTCGACCGACCGCCGTCTGCAGGCCCAATCGATTTGTTTGTATTATTGACCCAATCTGGAACATATTTCCTTATAGCGCGCTCCTCGTCGTCGTAGCCGCGTAGGCGCTGCCCCTTTCGAGCCGACCACCAATTATTCATCGGGATGCTGACGGGGCCATCCGAAGGCCCAGACTTCGAGTCCTTAGTACTACCGAACACGGTAGGGAATAGGGCGTTAAGCAGCGGCTTCATCGTCGGGATACACGCTGTAATAGTTAGCACGTTAATCTCGACCATGCACCATTTATCCGTCGTCTCTTTAAACCACGTTACGTCAATGCTATTGTTGTACGGGAGCGTCGTGACGATACGGGTGATGCTAAGGATGCACGCGCTGCGGCGGCTGTCAGTACGTCGTGCTTTCTATTAATATAGCGCGGGAGGGCGGGCTTACAGGGATCCAACAGTCAGCGCGATTAGGAGTAGAATCTTTTGCTTTATGCTCCGAAATTGTAGATTCCAGACCATGCGGATCGGAAGGAAAAGACCCAAGAAATCAGTTAACATGTTTAGTGAGGCGTTGGCGTAGATAAAGGCAAATTGGTTGATGCATTTAGCGTTCGTTATAAGGATTTCCCATTGTGCGCGGACGGGCACGCAGGCGCAGGTGAATACAATAATACTGATGATATTATATGCTATCACAAGGCTCATAAGACAATACGTCATTTTGCGGAACGTCTCGTCGGGGTTAAGGCGAAGGTAGAAGACTAGGACCGAGAGCTTAATAAACATTACTCCGAGGCAGTAGATGTCTACCTCGACGAGGTCATACTAACAAACACATTAGGTTAGGTCGAGGAGGCTTAGAGTGAAGACTTACTTTTTTAAACGCAATGACCTTATACACCGCAAGGTTCCATATATGGACCCCGTACCCATTCTTTACGTTCTCCAAGCTAAGGATTCCGAAGATCCAAGCACAGATCTGGCCGAGGATTACTAGGAAGTCGTCCCAGCCGAAAAGGCGGAGGATATAACAACGCACGAAGAGTCTTAAGGCGAGAAAGACCGTTGCGAGGCAGCAGGGAACGAGGGTAAAGACGCGGACATCCCTCCAAAGGTCTTCGGAGTCTACGAAGTTCTGGGTAATGCCCGGCGGTGGGGTAGCTGCAGGTGCTAATAACTCGGCGGAATAGCCCTTTCCCATTGGCCTAGAGTAAGAGGGGTTGGGACATGAAGTTGGCGGGAAAAGCAGAGCAAATGCTAGAAAATAAGAAGAGGGGGGCGAAGACGGTGGCTCTATATTAAAGATGCTATGTACTAACTAAGCTAACTTGAAGCACGGACGTAGATCGTGTTTCGAATCAAAACGTGCGAAGAATGCATTGCATGATCTTCAGCGATCACTCGGGGAGATGCTTCGAGAATAGATACAATACAGAGCTAACCATAGCTTCGGTCCCGGCTAACTCTCGGGAGGGATAGCGCCTCGGGGTCTAGCCAGTGGCCATTCGAGCCATAGGTGATAGGGCTTTCGGGGGCTAAAAACCTTGCGAAACCATGTTCGCCGCCGCGTGTGTTTCTTGACAACAATTAATCGGGAGCTGTCTCCAAGCTTGTTAGGCTGGTAGAGTATTAAAGACAGAACGCGGCTGACTTATGTCTCGATGATCCGAACTTGTCTAGGAAGGTCCTATGTCATTCATTCTTCCCGACCGACACCTGCAAGACGTGATTACTATAGCTTTTGGCAGCCCGTTACGTTCCGTAACTTGCGCAACGGCCGGTAAAGTGGCCTCACCGAACGCCCTCGTGTCACTGCGGATCCCCATGCACGAAGGGGCGACGAAACCCTCGTGTTACAGATTTAAGACAACCTCTGACATGAGCCTACCAATCAGTAATCGATCTCCAGATCCACGGACCCCCTTCGCCTCGGGCGGTGCGCGAAGACGGGTTGCGGGTATGTAGTGGCCGTCAGCCGATCGGCCCGTAGTAGGCGGCCCGACTAGGACGCTGCCTAATTGTGGAGACGGCCCCAGTTTTCTTTATCCTCGGCATTTCGGAAATAAACGATCGGATGTGAAGGGGAAAATCCGTCTCTGAGACATTGCGACGCGGCTACGGCTTGATTTCGTTGCGCTTGCAAGGGTAAGGGTTTTTGCACGCAACGAACACATATCTAAATTACGGCCCTATTGTGGCCCCGAGGGGGCCTAATTAGGTCAATTTAATATACTCCTTTTAGGTGGTGCTAAATTGCACGCTAAAGGCCCTATTTTAGTGTTATAGCGTAACCCGCGTATTACTACTAACTCGACCTCCGAAAGCGATCCTTATCGCTACTACATAAAGGTGTTGGAATATATAGAGAGGCCTCGTTACATCTTTAGCTTAGGCGTAGGCCTGACAAAAGAAGGTTTAGCGGAGGAGAGCCGAGAGAACAAAAAAAATTAAAAATAAAACATGAATTAACTCCACTTTAACCCTAATGATCTATTTGAAAGACTCTATGAAATTTAGCTGTTCCTATAGGTATACGTCAGTCTCCAGCCTAGGAAGAGATCATTAGACCCAAGTTAGAGGACGTAATCACGCAATCATCTTCGATTGCTTATCAGACTTTTTCGCGACGGAATCGTTTATCTTCTCCTTAAAGAAGCAGTGAAGCTTATTGAAGCAAGGGACCAGGGCGTCCTCGTTTTGCGAGATAACGCGCAACGTCAGTTCAAGCACGTGTTGACGCAAGGGCCGAACCCTACAGCATGTCAGTATTAATTTTAGTAATAAGGAGTAGAGGACATACAGTGAAACTGAATTGGGAGGCAATGAAACAAAGATACTGGGACCGAAAACTTTTTCGAAAGTGTTGAACTTCCGACAGAGCGCACGGGACTTGCGCTTATCCATCTGAATAAAGTAGTCATACAATACTGTCTTCCATGGCCTTCCTTTAGTAGTTCTAAGCTTTTGTTCTTCGAGGATGCGTCGGATAGCACTGTTCTCATCCTGAACGGGCTTCTGAAGCTCCTCATACGTACACCAAAAATCAGAAAATACACGGAAGCGGCAAAAACTTCCTCTAGCTATGTCGGATTCTGCGTCGAGGTTCATCGTGAAGGCGCGCATGACACGCACCAATTGCGACTTCGTCCCCTCGTATACGTTATCCGCAACCTTTTGCCGGAGCTCGTCGTAGCTGTAATCACCGGTAGTTCCGCCGAGCGGATTCCCCCTATTGATGACCGCGTGCTCTCCGAGCAACGTTTCAACACGACTACTACACTCCTGGATGGCTCGTCCAAGTAGGACCAGAATTGAACCCATGTACGTCTCATCGCGAGGACTAACAGGCTTGGAGCCGCCTTCTGACAATTCCTCGAGGATGGCCGCACGGAATGACTTAAACCAATCGGGAGTGACCTTGATGTTGTTGACCTTGTTAGCCAAATCTTGGGGCAGTTTGTCGGTGCTGTTGGGCTCGATCCGCGAAATTTTCTTCCATAAACGTTTATCGGGCGCTGGTCGCTGGCGCTGGTCTGGTTTCTTCGTCTCTGACTTCCACTTTCGGGAGCTATTATTTAACCTCGTCGCCTTTAAAGCAACATTGCCAATATTAGGATATGCCTCGGATGCAGTGCGCTTACGCTTGTCCTTCGCTTTCTCGTGATTGTTCCGTCCTCCTCCATCTTCTTCTTCTTCTTCTTCTTCTTCTCCTTCGTTTCGTTCCCCCTCCCTCCGGACTTCGATATGCTCCTATCTTCTTCTTCGCTAGTGTCCCCGCTATCATTCATCATTTCATTGGTACCAAATAAACTGCGACATTGCTGGGTAATGACACTTGGTGCCGGCTTAAATCTCTCTTAGATCAAGGCGAGGATCAGTTTCTGGGAACCTTGCGCGTAATTCTTTTTCAGGTCGTTAGGTAACGAACGAAGCTCAATGAAAAAACAGCGAAAGGATTTTTCTAGTCCTCCGCATGAGTAACCAGCTTCGTCACTACCGTCGTCATCATTGTTGCTGTCGTTGTCGTCGCCGTTGTCTTTATCTCCCTTGTTAAGGACGTGGTCTGAGGTATCGCTATCGCGTTCAGAATTCTCCCCTCTATCAGCGGGTCCTTGTTGGGAGTGGCGGTTGGAGGCATTAGGCTCCAAGTCTCTATCGGAATCCTTGCTCTTATCGTTGGGTAACTGCTTAGAGTCGCTGTCAAAGAAGTCGTTGATGCGTAGTTGTCCCAGTTTCCTTACCAAAGACTCCGAAACATAGGCATGTGACCCTATGTGACCTGAATCATCATCGCGGGTATGTGACTGGCGACTGTCGTGATGTTCGGACTGTTTCAAAAGGCTGGTAGCTAGCTCTGTGTCGCTCTGCTGTTCGGAATCGACAGCGTTGATAGGCTCATCGCGTCGCTTGGTGGGCGCGATTGGAAATCTACGGCTCCTCATTGTCCCGGTCGGTGACAGAGATGGGAGTAAAAGCGGTGAACGTGCAGAGGCTAGACTGTAGGCTGGTGTTAGACTATCAGGCCATGTTTCTTCATGCATTATTCTCTATATTCATTTTACTTTTCCGTTGTTTCAACACCCTGTTATCCCCCTGCTACTTTCTACAAGTGAGCACATGACCGCTCTGCTTCTTTATGTATATAAAGCTTGCTGCCAGATACTCTTTCAAAATCAAGCCGCGTTCTCTCTTCACTCGCACGGTTTCACACCTGTAATCCAACAGAAGGCCTCAATATGGATGGATGGTTTGATAGGGAAAGGGCAAGGAGGAAGCTTGTACGACCGATGGCAGACCAACCAATCTAGCCAACGCTAAACCTTTGTACCTACACGTTACCACACACTGCTTCCACGGACGGATCCCACAAAGCAGCTTTAGAAGCGCAACCCATCGATTGCGAGATACTTAAAGAGTGACAAGCGCAAGACCTCTTACCTCTCTACGCATCCTCCGCCGCCGTATATCCGCTCCAAACGCTCCCGATTTCCCCACCTTTACCCCGTCATGCGCCGCTACCCAGCCACCGGTACAGAAGCGCGTCCCCGGCGCGACGAGCGGCGGCGCCTCTAGATCCCTGCACAGACGAGGTCAACACACACGACAAGCGGGAGCGCAAAAGCAAAAGCCACGGTCACAGCAACAGAAAGAACAGTAACGAGAGCACGCTCACAGATGACGTTCGCAACCTCGTCAGCATCGTCGTCGTCATCAGCCTTCGACAGGCAGCAAGTATAGTATTCCTAAACGCGCGCACGCGCATCAGCGACAGCTACAGCAAACACAAGACGCAACACAACACACGCACGCACGTACCCCGAACTTAACAGCCACCCAGCGCTCCGGACAGCGCGGCTCCTCGGGGAAGCAGGCCCGCCAGCAGATCTGTGGCGCGTCAGTCGTGGCCGTGGCAGCAGTCGTGGCCCAGGGCATCTGCTACTAGTGCTGCTACTAGTGCTGTTATTAGTTCTAGGCGCGGTAGCGGCGAAGAAGAGGGCGCTGAGGACAAGGAAGCCGAGGGTAGAGGCGTGCATAGTAGCTTTATAGCTGTGTATAGGGTTAAACACCGTCCAGCCGATAGGTAGCCCTCCCGCCGGACGGGGCCATTCACCGCCGTCCGCCTGTCCCGCACAGCGCACGTGAGCCGGCGCATCCGGACGGTATAACTCCCGTTGGGACGGCTATAGACTAAAGCTATATATAGGGATTAATATATATCGTAATATAGCTATACTAATAAGGTATTACGGGGTTATCGAGGGGCGATTATTAGCGGGAATTATCTAATTAGGTCTAGTATAGCTCTTCTTAGCGTACTTCGTCTACCCTCTTATCTTTATAAAATATTATCAGCCAAGGTCACTCCAATAATACTTGAGTTTTGCCTTACTATTTTACTGTTACACAACAGCCTTATCCCCTTCTCCACTCATTTATATACTGCAAGGGAACAATAATCACAAAGAGAAAACGTGTTCTTCTAGATAGCAGGTTATATACGTCCTTAGGTAGCAGTAACCTAAAGGGACAAGCAGCGTCCAATTCCTCGCGCCAGCTTCACACCAAAAGACTGAAGAAGAGACGCTCCCCGATTACCATTCCATCAACTACTACCCGGCCCACATTGGCGAAGTACTTAATTTTAAGTACCAGATCATCACTAAGTTTGGCTACGGCATGTACTCGACAGTCTGGCTGTGTAGAGATTTGCTGTTAGTACTCTTAATCTCCCTCTATACCCGTTCTGGCTATCTGAAAGGCAACATCGTTATGTTGTTCTTAAAGTTTTCATCCGCAACTCAATGTATGGTTTTCAGGCGAAGCGTGAGCTGCATGCTTATAAACGCCTCTGCCAAGTCAAGACCGATCATCCAGGAAAGGATTTCGTACGCAATATCCTTGACCTATTTGAGGTTGAAGGGCCCGCTGGGCCTCATACATGCTTCGTCCATAAGCCACTTGCTATGAGAACGTCGGGACTTCAGCGTCTGCTTCCCAATTACCGACTGACCACAGATATGCTGAGGGGTTTCTGCATCCACCTCCTGCATGCGCTGGATTACCTCCATACTGAGGCCGGCTTAATCCATACAGGTAGGAATTTCCATGCTTTATCGATATTTTGAATACTGATATCACGGTTTACAGACATCAAGGCAGCAAATATCCTTCTGGAGAACAAGGATGAAGACATGCTGGCCGATATGGAGAAGAAAGAGATGGAGCACCCAAGCGAGTTCAAAGTTTTTGACGACCAGCGCATAATCAACAGATCCCGACCCATGCCTAGGCCGAAATCGTGGGGCATTCCGATTCTTTGCGATTTCGGAGAAGCGCGGTCTTCGGAGCGAAAATATGATGACGACATCATGCCAGAGATCTATCGGGCTCCAGAAGTGATCCTTCACATGGACGGGACCACAAGCTCGCTATCTGGAACCTTGGAGTTATGGTACAGTCTACTTAGCACTAGCGGCCTTGCACAATCTAACCACACGTAGATATGGGACCTCTACGAAGGAAAGTATCTCTTCGATAGTAGGGCCGATGAAGACGAGCTAAGCAACATCAAACACCTCTCGCAAATCGTTGCGTACTTAGGACCTCCCTGCGAGTTCCTTAAGAGAAACGGGAACGGCTTCCTGTTCTTTAACAAGAATTTTACGTTGTTCTGATTTAAACTTGTACGGAAGCCCTAAAGTCGTCTCGGCACATTAATAGATGCTAAAATTCCACCATTTTCCTTTGAAGCCGAGGAAGAGAATCTAGAAGGACAAGACAAGGAGCTTTTGCGCAACTTTATGAGGTTAATGCTGTGCTGGTTACCGGAACATAGAAAGACGGCAAAGGAACTGCTGGAGGATGATCCTTGGATAAATTTTAAAGAGCTTAAGTGTTCCTGTTGCAATGAATGGGGTTTCAATTGATAGCAATGAGTGGCATGATCTTGTTAGGAGCCCGGTAGGCGGAGTCCTCTTATACCCTGTGCTAAATGACTAAGCCACAGAAAAAGCAATATAAACTGCGTACACTTCAACAGTTCCTCTTAGGCATTAAACCTAGACCTACTACTCTAGCTAATTACCCATAGATTTCTTAGCCCCTTGGTCCGCATTGAAGCTACTAGTAGGACTTAGATGCTCCTTTCTCTGCATTCAATGAGATCTTTGGCGAAAAGTCTAGTCACAAAATTCCAGTTCTTGTAAGCGGACAAACACTATGGACTTTGCGATAATTTTAAACGGTACTTCCTTTTAATTAGCTGCTAACGCTGACATACTAACTTAACTGATGGGGACTCGCGCCTTTTTTTTTGGGGGGGGGGAGGGGTTGTATGTGGTACAAACCTTTGGCATCGAGGGTAGAAACCACGCCAGCCCGGGCAGGGTAGAAATTCGTTTGACGGTCTCTGCTACGCAAACATTATGACCAGGAATTTGTGCTACTCAGCGCTGGGCATCAGGCCATCTCAGGGCCTTGCTTAGAGACGAACACCGCATACTGCGCCGTAGTAAGAACCGTATATACGCGCTAACGATACTGTCAGCCAGGATCACTCCGATAACTCTCGTTTATCAGCCTCATTATTTAGTTGTTACACAACAGCCTTACCCTTGCACTACTCATTTACCACTACTAAAGAGAAAACGTGTTCTTTTAGATAGCAGCATATATACCTCCATAGGTAACAGTAATCTAGAAGGACAAGCGGCGTCCAATTCCTCGCGCCCAGCTTCACAGATACAGACGCGGAGACAACGCCGGCATTAAGGAAGGTGCGACGGAAATGACGAAGCAGCATCTCGGAAGTACCAGTCACCATGGCGCTGTCCACTCATTCCAAACTGCACTCTTCCACAACGGGAGTCTTAGCTTGCGTTATTGATCCCGCATGGTACTTGAAACCAGCCTTTGAGCACGGCATCACTTGATACAATACAACACTACTATCGCGACAAGTGAAGCCTACAACAGCAAAGATACAGTCATGCTGCGGCGTAATACAGCTATCCGACGATGGTGGCAGTGATGATGGCGGGTTTCTCTGATGATTAGTGGATGAGGACAGGAAAGGTCTTCTCATGGTTGGTGCTGCATGAAACATACATGTCTGAAAGTATGATAGATATATTATTGCTGGCGTGCTTTAGCACGGTCCGGCGTTGGTATCCTTACGGCATCATCCCCCGTGATTTCGGACGTCCAATCGGGCTCGCTCCCCTTATTTTTCCTACAGCAGCCAAGGGCGAGTGGTAGAGACCGCCTCCGCCTTGATTGGCCCAAACGCGCACTACATTCCTGACTCTGGATGCCGAGGTGAGCAGTTCCACCGTTTTTATTGGGGTTGAGGCGGGACGAGATGGATTATGCCATTCGCTTCGCGGTTGATAGTGCTTTTCCATCGGATTGGCCCTGCATCCTCGGTGGTCGCATGCGCGCTTCGACGGACCGGGGTGAACCTGCCTAACCGCCATATGCGCGCAGCCGGCATGTAAGTCCGCGCTGCTTCTTGTCTGATACGGTGGATTGACAAATTGACATGGGCTCCAGGATGCACGCTGATTTTGGCAACAGATAGCCTGGCCCTCGGGCCGCCCGCATACTTGTACACAGCGAAGGTAGCCATCGTGGACATAGCGTCCCGCATGCCACATAGCATGGATGATTTGGGCCGATTATTGGAATTGAATCGGCTAGCTGAGAATGTAATAAGGCTCCAAAAATCACGGTAAAATTCAGTCATGAATTCATCAACCGTTTGCATTTATTTTCCTGGAGCCGCACGCGCAAACATCAAAGACCAATTCAGCTTACCGTGCCCACAATGACTTGCAGCCGTCGGTCCAGCCCACATCCAGGCTAATTGATAGCTAGCAGAGTATACAGGAATTGTTTATTGGCCATCGCAAACCAGAAGTGCGCACGCATTATTGTCGGTTATTAAACTTGACCTCGAATCTTGGTTTCGTTAGACTAGCTTGTTCTCCCTCTTCCGTTTACCCCATAAGTACTGCTACTTTTTCTCAATTTGAAGAGACATGTAGGAATCTCTTCCCGTGTCCAAAGGCGCTTCAGTAGCTATCTTCGACGAATGATCGCCCTTCACTCTCCATTCGTCCCGGACAACAGTAGAGAAAGCGCCAACGAGCAGCGCCAACATCCTTGGACCAAAGTCTTGTCGTGCTGGACAAAGAAATGGCCCTCCACCGAAAGAGAGAAAAGTAGTATTGCGGCCATTATGGCCGTACCAGCGCGGCGGCCAGAATTTGGACGCGTTAGCTTCCCCTTCGCCTGGCCACTCTTTGCTGTCGCGGTGCAGAGCCTCAATGTCTGCAGCGAGCTTTTGGCTCTCGCCGGAACTGTCGTCTTGAAGCTCTCTGTAAATCCGCCTTGTTGGAGGATAAAGGCGAAGGGCTTCTTTTGAAATCATTGCGGCAGATCCATCAGGATAATCACGCTTAAGTTGAATTGTGGTCGGACTGTGGACGAACTTCTGGAGCGTGCTTTGCCAGTAAAGCTTTGTCGCATGAGGCCGGAAATGAAGCTCGAGAATGCAGCACAAGACTGCCCGCCACATGGTCTCATACGAAGGAAGAATCAAGTTCATGGGGTTCTCTCGCGGTACCAGAGGATCCTTGTCGGGAACAATGTTATTGAGCACGGCGTGGATTTGATCTTGGTGTCGCCATTCTTCCAAGCTACTGGCATCTTTCGATGCGATCCAGATGCGGTTAACCTCAGAAGCTAAAAGCTCAACTTGCTCATCTGTTGTTGTGGAAAGGTCAACCTGTAGGAAGACTTGAAGGGCCATCTTCATCGTTATGATTTGGACAATGCATGCGAGGTTCTGAGGATATTCTGACTGATCCAACCTTCGGCGGGTAGTCTTAATTGCTGTCTCCGCTATGCTCTTCCATTTGCCTGTAGGAGTGTTTAGAAGAGACTCTGCCTCTGTGCGAAATTGCTTGTGCCAACCGCTGTCGGTAGTGGTGAAAGCATTGTCGATTCCAAAAGCAAGGTAGAGTCGTGCGTTCGCTTTTGATCGTGCCTGAAGTCGTGATGTGGGAGAACTTAAGCCGATTTGGTTGTTGAACCTGAAGTTGAGTAATGAATTGCATCCCTTGAGATCGGCGAATATTGTAAGGTTATCGCAGACATGAGCCGAAAAGTTCTTTGCCACGGCCATTTGCTTGAACCTAGAGGACTGTTCACGACTCTGGCCATTTTCACTGAAGTAATTGCAGTAAATGTAGCAGGTGGCCGCGATGCATACCATTAAAGCCAATCCGTTCGTGACCGAAAACATGATGTTGTTGAAGGGAGTGTGGTGGCGGTGAATAAAAAGGATACCTAAGGCTGTAACAGTGAGAGCTTGAAGAACATTTATGAGACAATTGTTGGCCGTCTTGCCCCTGGCAGGATTTAAACGGTTTCCAAGTGGCATCTGTACCTTGTGCACAGCACTACCTATGACGTAGACTTGATGCACTGGCAATAAGCACTAATAAGCACTGATAATGTTGCTGTAGAAGACTCATGAGCTTCTGCAGGTTTCAAAGTATGCGAGGAACAAAAAAAGCGCTTAACAAAAAGTGAAAATAACTAATACATTCACGACAAAGTTTCTTTCCCTACTCTCGCAATAAACCACACCTTAATGGCCGCATGCACTTCAAATAAACGCAAGGCTACTAAGATATGAATGAACTTTCTTAGATGATACATTTTGCTTCCAGGACGCCATAGATCGCCGAAATTAGTCCCTGTGATACTTGACCGCTAGTCAGGGATGTTCGGTTGCTTTTGCGAACTAAACCACCTCCTATGGGACCATGTGGCAACGCAGACAGATTGTCGTCTGTAAGGCTGTGCCAGTGCGACACGTTGCCAAATGAAGAACCCACCGTTTTACGTGTGCATTGTATGACCCTGGATTTAAAATACACGCATAAAATTAACTTACCGACTGCGCCCAAATCGTTTTTATTCTTAGTGACCGTCTGAGAGCCCCCCATCAATAAGAAGTCTGAAACATACTGCATGACTTCATTTCTTTATGATAGTGAAACTGTGTGGACTTATGCGCAGAATTTGGCCATAAATTGGTGATACGGAGATGGGACGATAATAGTGGTATGACAATATCTTTCGAATTATGCAGTCGTGTGCGTCCTTCTGTAACTTTGAAAATACCTCTAAGCCAAGCCAACAGTGACAGCCACAACCTATTTATCATTTTTTGCACCGGAGAGTCAAGCCCTTTTCAGTCATGTTGCCGAAAGAAAGGGAAAACAATTTGCTTCGGTCGCGCAGGCTTTGGAGGTGGCTAGATAGACGGTCTCGCTTCCATTCTACCTGCCCTGCGCCGCATCACACGGACCGTACAGATCAGAGACACAAGCCGCGTAAGCCTGCGGAGCGACGAAGATGGCGGCCGCACTGCAGCAGCGATATACCCACGTGTATGCGGGGCGTGTGGACTGCGCCGTCTTGTCCTTGCTGCCCTCGCTCGATAAGGGTTGGATAGACGCGCGCCGCGCCAAGTTTACGCTCTACACACTAAAGCATGTTTACAATGCAACGCACGGCGCAGTCCGCGGTTAAGTTGCCGCGCCGTCGGCTACCTTTACTGCGCCGCCGTCTCGTGAATCGTGGCCGCAACCAAGCGAGGCGAGGCCGTCCCAGCTTCTATGTACGTTCCGTTGTCCGCGCACACGCATGGCGCTTAAGCTAGATACCTGATAGGCACACGGGCCGGTATCTCGCTCTCGCGCAGCCAAGCTCGACTAAGCTATTCCTGCCTCTCTACTGCTTATCAGCACGCACGCTGCGTACCGTATCCGCGTCGCCTACCACTCACGTTCCTGCGGTTCCGGTCCTGGTAGGCAGGCAGGCTACAGACTACATCAGCGGCACAGCAGTACTCGCCTGCTGTAGCGCCTGCGTGCCTTCGTCACAAATACCAACTGCGCTTACCCTCGCTATGACGTGCTGTGCCAACGACGTTTCCAGTCTATTCTTGTGTTGTATAATACATAGGTCGCGTCGACTGGCCTATGATCAGGGGTATGCGCATTGGTAGCTGCGATATCACGATATAGCAGGGAGGGCGTAAGCCGACGGGAATACCGCTGGAAGGTTCCGTGTTTGAGAGGAAGAGCTAAGCTGAGTTGGCAACGGGGCATGTCTGGCCGGTGCAGCGATGTTGCAGTGGAGGGAGGGGGTTGGTGGGTTTTTATGAGTATGGGGTTACGTCAATAGGTAATGGCGGGCTCGGAAGGCTGAGGCGTAGAGAAATTGGAACTGGCGGTTGTATATCGGTCGGGGAGCTGGAAATTGGCTAGCTTAGGACGGCGGACTGGATTAAGATACTGTATATTATGTTTTACGGCTCTATTAGCAAAGTCGGAGATATCCTTTAGATACTATCAAAGGCAGTAAAGCCAGTAGTTAGGGACGATAGCCGTAGACAGTGTTAGGAGTAACGATTACGTGCGTTAGTCAAGTCTATGTAATTTGCACACAGTTTGCTTTCACCGCAGTCGTGCACGATTAGGCCTACAAGTATCCATTAAATGAAGGCATAGACATGGGTTTAGTTAAACCAACCATCCTCGACATGTTGTTTAGAATGTAGTATTAGACTATCATAAAATATTGATTAAAAGTATCATGTAACGTAATGTCTGCTCCAATTACCATCCCATCCGAGCTGCGGCAACCAGGGCTACGCAAGGTGCCACTGAGCCAATCCCTATGGGAGAAGAGGCCATATGCGCCGTAGCCGAAGGCATATTCGCTTGAATTTTACTGGATCGATTCCATGGCGTAAAGCGACTTCGCCGAGCTTGTGGTCTTTGTTGGGGTTTATTACCTCACGCATTAAGCCCCGATTGGGGGCATTGCAGATGGCAGCGACCGTTCGATAGAACTTCCAGCGCAAGGTGTACTTTGCCACCATATACGCATATACCAGGAGGTGCCGAGAGGCAACGAAGGGGGGCAGCCTCCTAATGGGAAACCCGTCGTACCGAGCCCGACTGATCGAGAAAAAGACGTCTGATGTTTCGCTGAGCTTTTGCCAGGGTGTGTTTGCCTTGCGGAGTTCCTGTAGCTCTTCCCGAAGTCGATCTCGGTGCCAACATAGAGGTGATTGCCGTGCTAGACCCAACATGCCATGCCACCTTCTTAGAAACATGTCCAGCGATGGACGCATTTCCCTTGGCAATTGGGTAATATGTATGTTCTATGAGAGAGGTTGGTTCTTTGTATAGTTTGACGCCAGATGAACAAAGGTGAAAGTAGATGGAAGGTATGACTGGTTGGGACACCGTGCGACTGCGAAAATTCCAAAAAGTCGCCAAGCTTTTATCTGACTAAAATCTGAGATTCTAGCCTGAGACGCTTATCCTGATCTGGAGAGTTTCATTTAACGACTGTTGCATGCTCACAAATCGAGTTAGCGTCGATCAGCGGGTGCAAGTCCCAGCTGCCTGCCACGCGGCTTGCTTTATGCAGCTGAAATTTGCAAAGCTGCAACTGAGACAATCTTGAGGTACTATAGGCTTATAGAATTGGTTAGCGGGGCACAATGTATGCTAGTGATGTTGCGTGATATAGATGCAGGGATTCTCATAGGGGGCAAGTGGCCGCATAATGATGCGTGAGAGACATTGTACCTAAGGCTGCGAGCTGACAAGAATGGTAAACTTTAGTAATACTTGTATATCTGGATAGATCTACTTCATGCTAAGGCGGAATGACTTCATTCTGGGTCATGAAAATCACTGTGTAAATCCATTCCAAAGCCGGAAGTGGGGGGGGTATTTACTTTGCTAAAAGACCAATCGTGTATTACCTACCCTGTAGCTAACATAAATGATAGGTAACCTGAGGTAAAATTTAATGATTTACATGTCAACACAATTTCTAGTACCAGTTTGCTCTTCTGCGGCGAGGTACATACATGCTGCTAATGCAACAAGCTGCTCGACAGAGAGATAGACTCCACCAAGTAACCACTTCCCGGTACATGTAGGTATTTATGACTTACCCGTATTGCGGCGAAGCCCTGCTCCCAACTCAGCACGGCCTTGAATTCCTTCCTCGGCAACGTGTGCAGCTGGCATACTTCATGTGATAATGGACAACCGTGGTCATTACAGCGCTGCACGAGTCTGAATCTAATGCAGTGCATTATAGTGATTTTCGGGCAACAACGCAATCAGGGAATTGCCACTCTATAACCAATAGCCGTACGAAGCCATCCTCGCCATGTTTCTCTATCCTTCCACCAGTTGAAGTTACCGCTTCCTGTACGCCGCTGAACTCTACGTTGGTACCAGAGGGTTGGTTACCTTGCAGCGTTGCTCAAGATGAACCATGTTAATATAGAATCAAGCTATTACGCTCATCCATTCCTAAATCGGTGAGGTCCTTCAATGAACTTCTGCAGTAATGCCATGCATACTGTAACCATATATGGCTTCATGCATGAATTCGTGGCCCCAGTGGCCTTCAGGACGTTCTTAGGTCGCTTGAATGCACACGGAAAGGCCATTATGGTAAAAATTGACTAGTTATATAAGGATAAAAGAAGATGCGTCCACCTTCCATCAACCGTTAAACCTGTTACACTTGATAAAGGCTATCTCATCAACAACCCAACAACCTCACTACTATCATATCGCCCTCCAAGACAAGGAAAATCTTCACGATGACTACCAGCCGCGACTCCAACACGCCGAGCCTAACGGCGGTCCCTCAGCTGCATCAATCTACCGTTCCTCAGACTCGACCTACTACCGAAGATAGACTGGTGGTAGTCGGCTTATACGGCGTTCCCGGCTCCGGCAAGACATTTTTGCTTAACCAATTGAAGCAAGAGCTCGGAAGTGAGCTATTCGCATTCTACGAAGGATCCGAGGTCATTGATACTGTCGTCTCTGGGGGTCTTGACGCGTTTAAAGAACTCGGAGAGCAAGAAAAGGCGCATTGGCGCCAGATTGCCATCGACAAAATCAAAGAAGAATGTGCCCACAGCGGGCGCGTTGCAGTTGTCGCTGGGCATTTCATGTTTTGGCCCGAAGAAGAAAAGGCTGGATGTCCAGTGTATACGCAGACTGATCTGGAAACATACACCCACATCCTCTACTTGGACGTTCCAGCTGAGACCATCGCAAAACGCCGTTTGGATGATACGGAACGGAATCGTCCATCGGCATCGATCACTCATTTGCGAAAGTGGCAGCAGGCCGAAAAAGACGGGCTGCGCCGTCTCTGCCGCGATCATGGCATTTTATTCTCGCTCATATTCCCGCACTTGGCATTGCCAACCAAGACATCGACGTTGTTACGCGATTTCCAACGCCATAACGAGAAGCATAACCTATCGAGGGCGGAAAGAAAGCTAGACGAGGCTATTCCCCCTGGCAAGACTCAGCTAGAGACAGTGTTGGTTTTGGATGCAGACAGAACACTAGCTGCGGAAGATACCGGCACGTTATTCTGGAGGAAGATCTCGAACAATCAAGACCAGGAGTTTCCGTTAAAGGCACTATTTAGCAGCCCTTTGGAGTACTCGTACAATGCTTTCCGTCAGGCAACACTGCTGTATGAGGAGACGCTTGACGATCAAGAATTCGAGGACATCTGCCAAAAAGTGGCACCGGAGGTGACTATCCAACCTGAGTTCGGATCCCTTTTGCATCTGGTGGCCGATAAGAACCATGTCGGTGCGGTTGTGGTTACTTGTGGCCTGCGCCGTGTTTGGGAGATAGTATTGGAAAGAGAAGGTCTATCTAAGACGGTGACAGTTATTGGCGGTGGGCGCATCTCAGACGGTTTCGTCGTTACCGCCGCTGTGAAAGCTGCATTGGTCACCCGCCTGCGAATCGCTCACCAGGTATATATTTGGGCGTTTGGAGACAGTGTTTTGGATTTGGATATGCTGATCGAAGCGGACGAAGCTATCGTCGTAGTTGGCGAAGAGCAGTCTAGGAGCAAGACTATGGATGCAGCACTGACGAATGCTATTGACAAGGAAGGCCTTCGGGCGCAGCAAGTTGTGCTGCCCAGCAATGCGCCACCGCGGCTCAACACCGAGATACTTCCCTTAATCCAGCTGACAGGGAATGAGTTTATTGGCTCTATCCTCTGTCGACGAGACCGACCTGCGGGTCTCCAAATCCATCTCGCAACAGAGAAAAATGCAGCAAAGTTGCTCGCGACGCCGATGCGCGACGCAGCTGTTGCCGGCCCAATACTAAGGGATGCCCATCGCCGAGTTGGGTGGTACCTAGCAACTGAGTTCCTGACCGACCTAATTGGGATCGAAGAGTGTAGGATCTCGCATGTCCTAGGCCGTCCTACCAATGGATATCGACTTCTCCACGAGGATCAGACGACAATTGTAGCACTGATGCGCGCCGGAGAGCCCATGGCACTTGGTGTTAACGATGCCTTTCCGCGGTCCATGTTTGTCCATGCCAGCCACCCCAACGACGTTAAACTCCACCATTTACACGGACAGCGAACCGTTCTTCTGGTGGATTCGGTGGTGAATAGTGGAAAGACAGTGGCCGAATTTTTACAGGCAGTCCGCAATCTAAATTCTGCCATCCGCATCATTGTAGTTGCTGGCGTAGTCCAGGCACAATGCATGTCTCGCCGCAGTCTCATCAGTAAAGTACTTTCCGGCTACGGAGATTCCAGCCTTGTTGCACTCCGGCTCTCCGATACCAAATTCACTGGCAGCGGAACCACCGATACAGGCAACCGTCTGTACAATACCACACACTTGCCGTGACTCTAATTTTTTTTGGCCACAAGGGGGACCCTATGGACAGAGATCACCTAACTTCAATCAGTACTTGAATCTTTTAGTCAAGGAAGCAGTGATTCTGTACTTTGTTAAGCTCTAGGGTTATTAGTGGGCAACTGGGCGTGGGATAGATAATGAGGAGCTAAGCGAGGGATGCTGGGGTTTGAGATGTTGGACTATCAGGCCATCTTTCTTTACGTATTACTTGCTATATTTACTTTCTTTTTTCAATGTTTCAACATTATTCCACCACCTGCTACCTTCTTCATGCGAGCCATGACTGCTTCACAATACTTATATACAAAGGCTTATCACAGCAGTGAGGTGGATCTTGATATAGTTTACTGGATTTCAACCAAAGGGTGAAGGAATAACTACAAGACATAGTACGAAGAGAAAAAGAAGAGAAACGAGAGGCGGCGGCTATATATACGGCTCGCTAACAGGCGTGGAAAGTGCTAGAAGGAACGCGCTAGAAACCCGTAACAATTACTCTATTAGCCCATCTACCCTTGAGAGAGAGTCAAAAATCTCTTATAACTTGCTAGGAATAATTTTTAGAGCTCCTAAACGGTATTTACCATGTTACTTAGGGCCCCTCCCCCTCCCCCTATCGAATTCGTCGAGTAGAGCACTCGTTAACACTAAAGATATTAGTAGTCTTAGCTAAAGAGACACTGTCCGTTACACCGACTCCCCTCTTATTTAATTTCTTATATTAAATAACCTCTAAGGCACTAATAAATTCAGCGCGCTTAGTTTTAGAGTACTTATAGCTAGGCGGGCAGTCTTCTATCGTTAAGAACGGGCGAGCGAGATGGCTGCCGGGGCTACGCTAGGGCAGCGAAAGATAGCTGCCTAAGCTTTCTTTCGTGTATCCTTTATAGATTGCGACGAGGCATAGTCGTATAGACCTCTGTAGAATCACGTTTTAACAAACTAGGTAGGATTTGCGGAGAATACTGCTAAATTTCCCCGTTCGGGTGTTGTTCGGTGATCCGGCCTCGGTCTTCCTGTTAAGAAGTATTTGCCTGCGTGTAAGTAATGCATTCAACGTATAATATCTCTGCTTATCCTTCGTAGAGCGCGAGTATTCTCTCCTTAAACCACGGCCGATATACGGAATGCCCCCAACTTGTAACCGATGCTTCTTAGATACACTCCGAACCCCGATTTCTAGGTTCATCTTCCTGGAAGATTATTGTATGAGCTTGTTTGGACGTTCTCTGGCCGAGAGTAGGCGATGCGTTGGGTTTCGATGCACGTTTGACACGCGGCTAAGATTCGGGATCTGCGAACCCCCGCCTGCCCGCCTTCACCGCCTGGCGGTCCTGCTTGTGCTTGTGCGACAAACAAATAATCAACCATGTCCGCCCCTCTCGCTGCAACGCTATCTAACGCCTTTGTCGAGGCTTGGATGCACCAAGGCACCCTCGCCGCCACTCCCCCAGACTCTCTCTCTCTCCGCGCGCGCGTAGTAGGCCGGCTTTCGCGCCCTGAACGCGTGTTACAACCGCCCCTAGCCACCCTACCACCACCACTACCCCTTCTCCCGCGCCCGCCGCGCCCACCTCCGCGTTTACTGCGTTCAGTGAGCCCAGCCACTTTGTTTCAAAGTTTGGCGTTATTTGGCAACACTGCCCATTTCGGTTTCACTCCCATTGATCATAACGGGTTAAGCACTAGCGCTCCCCCGCTTCTTCCATTCTCGTATCACCATGACCTATTCCTGCTTTGGAAGTACCTAAACTGGCTTGAGCAAAAAATTTCACGTCGTACCTTCGCTTCCTTAATCCGCATACATTAGGAAAGGCGGCTTCGCAGCCTGTAGCGTCGTGTACGCATGAGCGAGCCTGATCTCTCAGCAAATGCACCAATTAGAACGCGTCCTTAGAGGCCCTCTCTCTAACATTGAAACACGTAAATCACCACCAAATCACTGCCTCGTCTAACTGGTGCGCTCGTTGAGGGATCAGGCTCGCTCATGCGAAGGGATCGACAACAAACGTGCGCAGACTCGTTTGGCGGCCCGCGGCAGGGGGCCTGATGAATGGGCGCCCTGGCCTGCGAGCGAAGCAAGGGGTTGGGGGCACAAGCGAGGCGGCCAGTAGGTGCCTTTGCCGCCCCCGTAGACGCCGTCGCACGGGTCAGGCCAGCTCTAGCCCTGGTCGCAAGCCGCATCGGCGTCACCTCGAACTGGCCACATTGCAATATTGCCGCCCCACTGGCAACATTGCCTCGCCGTTGGCAACATTGCTTCCCGCTAGCAACATTGCTTCCCCATGGAATAAACTGCATGCTGCCTACAAATACCTTTCATACGCACGGCCTCACTAGCTCTTTTGCGAAATAAACGTCGCATTCTAGTCGCTCTACCACGTAATTTTGGCAGCTTTTCGCAGCTGTTCCACCGACGACCAATCCGCGCACATTATCACCTGCTCCCTACCCACGATTGTTCATTCAGCTCGGCACCATCAGCTGCTTGCTCCGTCGACCAAACCACGCACATTATTACCTGTTCCCTGCGCATAATACTCGACCAATTCTATCTCGCCGTCATTCTACCTTACCTCGCCACCTTCCTCCTCTCGTACCCAGAGTTACCTTCCCTTACCAGGAACCAGATGACATGGCATCTCCATCTCGGAAACGCAGTCCAGGAAGCCTTCAAAAAGAGTGCAAAATGAAGTCGAGAAGAGTAAAGCGCCCTGAGGAAGAAATAGAATGGGGGGAATATAGTACGAACTTCGATACCTCAGGCAAAGGCGGGGGAGTAGAAGAGCTCCATCGTTTTATACAAGCGTTGGATGGACGTTCTGCATTTCCCAGTACACGACTAGGGAATAGGGAATATGTTATGAAGCAAGTCAGACCACTCACGAAGTTAGATGGTCAAGAAAAGCTACAAAGCATACTCCGACAGCCGTTTCCCCAGGAAGATATTATTCTTCTAGAGGATTCAGATTCTCTTAGAGATGCTCTGGAAGGGCCATTTCATGTTCCACTCCTACATCGAACAACAGTTGACAGCCCGAGCCTTCTGAGCGGACGATCAACGATTTTGGACCTTATCAGCCGCCTCTCTACAAGGAAAGAGTGCACAGTATCAGTCTACGACTTCTCCATTGAAGATCCAGCCAAAAGAACTCGCCAGACTACCGTCGCTGAGCTCTCCTCACGATTTCAAAGAAAGGAGGAGCGATCACATGGACAAGATGAGAACAACCTAATTCTCAACTTTCTGGATATTGAAAACAATTTTCAGGTCCAATACTGTCCTCCAAATCTTCTATACTCTGACCTGAGAACTAAGCTACGCGATAGTAGCCTAGGAGATATAGGGAAGACTAATTCAGACTGGAAACCAGTATATCAAAAGGAATTTTTTATACTGTCAACAGCAAACGCGATTTCTACTGTTCATGTAGATACAGGCGGTACAGGAACATGGGCTGGTATTCTATCAGGACGAAAGATCTGGTATTTCCCACGCCGTGTTACTACTCAAACATTACGGCTCCTGGCAGAGCTTGGATCAGTATCTCCTGAGATATCTGATGAGTGGATCAAAGTTGAACTACGAGAGGGAGACTTTTTGTAAGTATATATAACTTTAGTGTTTTACCTTATACTTACTACCCTCTAGTGTCATGCCGCCAAGTTTACCGCATGCTGTATTTACGCCAGAGGACTGTCTTATGGTCGGCGGAACTTTCTACACAGCTGGAACTCTAGATCAGACCCTCGAAGGCCTTGAGATACAGGAGAAATACCCAGAGATATCGAATGAGGACCTAAATGATACTGTTTATAACAGTCTTGAACAGATCCTCATCCACTGCAATTTCATGGATGTCCAGAACAAAATACGGATATTAGGTTGTCGCTCTCTTTTTACCAAATGCTCAAAAGGAAAGGGTACATCGAAACTCACGAAAAAGGATATTATGGGACATTTAACATCTATTGGCGTAAAGTTCAATCCGGGCAAAAGAAAACATGAGCTACTTCAGCTCTATCGAAGTGCTACTCAGGGAAGTACTACTCAGGAAAGTGCTACTCAGGAAAGTACTGCTCAGACAGGTACAACTCTGAAAGCATCAAGAGAAGAGTTTGTTGAATCGCTTGAAAAGTTCTGCGACAAACTAAAAAATGAAATCATGGGCGAAACATAAGACAGGGGATAAATGACAGGTTTGGCTATCATGTTATAGAGGTCTCTTATTCAGGCGTTTTTTAGGAATTTAGGCCAATCAACATTCCTCGTTACTCTACTAGTGTAGTACTTAGGTACGTACATTATTGTGATTTGTGGTTTAACAAGCAGCTAAGTCCCGCTTATACTATTACTTGCTCTATAGAATCTCTATGCAAGCGACAGTAACTAGATATAGATAATTTCTATATATCAACCAGAATCACTCCGATAACATACGTTCTCAGCCTTATAATTAGTTGTTACACTACAGCCTTACCCCTTACACCACACGTTTATCCACTGCAAGGAAATAAGGATCTCAAAGAGAGAACGTATTCTTTTAGATAGTAGTATATATACCTCTATAGGTAGCAGTAATCTAGAAGGACAAGCGGCGTCCAATTCCTCGCGCCCAGCTTCACAGAAAGTTATCCGGGAGAGTTTGGTGATACTACCAAGACGGCTTATGACTATATGGGTCGGTGGTTAGGGAAGGAGGGGCGTTTCCTCTGATTATAGGTGTAAATAGGTCAAGTCTCCTAGTCACAGTGTTTAGGGAACAACTAAAAGAAGGCTACTTTGAACGTTGAGCACTTGGATACAGATAAGTGAATGAGCACAGTGTTTTCAGAAGGCGATAGATTTTTCTGACCGACGGTTTGAGTCTGTTTCTAGAAAATCAGATTCGTACAGTTATACGCCCCGATTCAATTCCTGGCTGCTCTGATTCTCGCTCCGAGACAAATCCATACTCGGCTTTGCCACGTCAGCTATAAACGGGCAGCGAGTAACACACAGGCCTGTCGGGGTTACTCTGAATTCTCATTCGCACAATTGTGATACCACTTATCAACTGTAACCCTGGCTTAACTGCAATAGCCTAAGTTTCTTCAGATCGATGTTCCTCAGGGGTAGCACCATATTTTGCCCCACACCAAAAAGTTTACACCGTATAGGGTAAACCTCGCTTCTCGGGGAGCTTTCTAACTATGGTATAACCACTGAAGATCCCGGCGAATCGGTGCAATAGTGGGTTCCGCGCGCGCAAGACTCCACACGACGAATACCACTACTTAAATTGTCAGCCTTCCCCAGGTCAAGTTTGTGTCGATCGAAGAATTCCAGATATGGAGGACAAAAACTTTCGGGTTGCTATTGTCGGCGGCAGCATTGCCGGGCTTACGCTGGCACTTGCATTAGAAAAACATGGCATCGACTTTGTGGTGCTAGAGGCTTATCCAGAGATTGCTTCACAAGTTGGGGCAAGTATCGCTGTCCTTCCGAATGGGTTTCGTATCTTGGATCAGCTTGGCTGCTTTGAGGATATTATGGAAAGAGTCAACTGCACGATCGACAACTTCATCATTCGGGACTTGGATGGCAGTATTTTGATACATGTCGAGAACTTGGATCATCATTTGGTTCAACGGTTAGTAGATTGTTCTTTATAGATTACGAAGCTGATTTTTAGGCATGGTTATCCGATGATCTTTTTTGAGCGACGAATGCTCGTTGAGGTTCTCTATCAGCATATCCAGCAAAAAGAGAAAGTTTTGACAAAGAAACGAGTAACTGACATACACGAGCGTGCCGATGGTGTTACCGTTACTACTCAAGACGGGGAAGAGTTTGAAGCGAATATTGTCGTTGGCGCGGATGGAGTTCACAGTGCCGTAGGAAAGCATATATGGCAAACGACAACCCATAAAGACAACGAACTCCGAAGAGGTATTTATTCCTATCTGGTTAAGAGCTTCTCTAACGTGTTCTAGATGAAATGCTAGTACAGTACAGGTGTCTCTTTGGAATCTCTTCGAAGGTTCCTGGAATTTCGGAGGATACACTTCATCATGTCAGCAATGAGGGATCTTCCTTGTTCGCTGCGTCGGGTCCAAACGCTCGGACTTACTGGTGCTTGTTTACAAACACCGGGACTACGTACTACGGGGAGGACCTGCCACCATATGATGAAAAGGATGTGGCCGAAACCGCGCAAAAGCACAAAGATGACGGCGTTACCGAAACGGTTAAATTCGGTGATCTATACGAACGGAAGCTTATGGCTGTACAAACTCCATTGCATGAATACGTGCTGGGAAGATGGTACTCACAGCGCTGTATCGTTATCGGAGATGCGGTTCACAAGGTATTTTAGCGCAGTGTTTCACGAACCCGATGAGCTGATTATTTCTAGTTCAATCCGATTATTGGTCTGGGCGGTATGTCAGCAATTGAGACATGTGCTGCTCTGACGAATGGTCTGGTTTCTCTGGTCGAATCCCACAAGGATACCAAGATTCCTTCTTCTATCGAGTCTGTTTTCCGAACCACCCAAGAGATTCGGAAGCCTCGCGCCACTGCTCTAGTGGACGTCTCGAAGAATACCCAGTACAGATTCGCTATGGAAACGCCGTTGCTTAAGTTTTTCAATCGGTACTACTTTCCAGGCATGGGTTCTAGATCTGCGTTGCGGTTACTTTCGGAAGCATATCCAGGGGCTACCAGTGTGAAGACACTGCCCGTACCAAAGCAACCACGTGCTCTACCGTATGAGGATGAGCTTTTACAACAACCTGTTCCTAGGAATGCTATGTTGAGTAGGATTACTGTGGTTGTTTTGGTTGGTATCTTCTTGTTCCACTGCAACGCAATCGGAATAAATGCCTGGCCGCTTTTGCAGGACAATTCTGGGCTTGGAGTTTTAAGCTCGAAACAAATGCTTTGGAATTTCTTCACTGGCTTCTCATTCAAGACAGGAAGCAACTTGCAAGCAAGCTACTTCATCTCAGTGACCTTTCCTCTCGTTGCAATTATTTTGATCGAGAGTTATCGGAAGAGAAATACATGGTCTTCAGTCTGGTGGTAAGTATTGTTGTTCTCCGTAATTTCACGGCTAACACTGCTTAGTTCCACGTTATGGATCACTGCCGCCCAACTTTTTGGTATTGGAACCGTTCTACCGCTGTATGTCCTGGCTTTTTTCAACGGCTCAAAAGGTACAGCCTATTGGATGCCGGCAGAGCGTTCTATCTCAAAGATGGCCGGCAAAACTCTCTTGATATCTTTGATCGTTGGTCTGTTTTCTCCCACCGTATTTACAGCTTTTTATGGCGCTGCTGAGATTCAGAAAGCCATTGGTTTGTGGCAAGCTACACCGATATTAGTGAGTGTGCTGTGTTCACTATTTACAAAAATTTTCGATGTCTTCATCGCTCCGAAAGGTGGCAAAGTTTCGGTGGAGGACTATCAAGGGTATGACCTGCCGTACATGAGGACATTGTATAGCATTGCTTTCCTCGTTGCGGCTGGAGCTCATTTAGCCCTTGTGTCGGGGATGGGCATTCTGAATATGAGTTGGGAGAACCAAGCTTTGGGGTATGATCTTTTTTCAATTGCGTTGACGGTATTTGTTTGGGTGGCTACGAATATCCAGGATATGAGACGTGTGGGAATCTCTGGGCTGTCAACTTGGAAGTCCACTGGCCTTTTGCTCGGAAGTCAGTTGTTGATTGGACCCGGGGCCACAACGGTGGCGTTTTGGAAATGGCGCGAGGAGAAGATGGCAAAGCCCGAGTTGAGGGTTTTGTAGTATGCAAGGTATAGATATGTGGAGTTGTTTCTGCTCATTATGGCGGTGGTGTCTTAAATTTTGCGTGTGATTTTTCGATTAGGTCTATAACACCAGCCTTTCACACTTATCCATTACAGGGACTTTAGTATCGCCTCGGCGCCACGTACCGAGAAAGGATTAGAAAGAGCTATTACCTCGACTTATAACCACTATCTACTAGGCTAAAACCTTGCTGGGTAAAATTGATAAGAGCAAATTTAAATGCTAGTATAAGGTACTTAGCTTGACTTTCTAGCTTATACGTCTTAGTTTCTTCGAAGGTACTGTGTGTTAAATTATCTAGGAAGGAAGCCAACGAAACCTATCAGCCCTTTATCTGATGCAGTACCCCCTTCACTCTTTACACGTCTAGCCCTACGCGTGTCTGTCTGTTCTCCGCCTAGTTACATGCCGAACCACTGAGGTTCAAGAGCATTTCGTTTCGCCTTTCCACCCTTGCATATCTTCGGTAACGGTATGTTTGCAGCTGGGGTTGCCCCGTGCTTGTTCTTGATATTCTCATTAGTTTCTACTGTATAGCGTGGAAATGGCGCTTGTACTCACCTCCTTTTTATCTGCTCGCTTGTCTGGCGGATTGTAACCATAGTCGGGCTTGAATGTAGGCATCGCTGGCGTGTTTGTGGGAGTATAAACGGTTTGTATAGTAGTCATGCCGCTAGCCCCATCGGTAGTAGCGGAGGCCCCGAATGCCGGGCCGAATACGAAACTTGGGCAAAAGCGAACCCGAACCACGCAGCAGTCAAGCATGGAAGATTGGCATTGATGGTACAGCTTAAAAAGGAGGCTCAACTATGCCAGACGCTGATGTCGTCCGAATCGGAACCCGGACACGTAAACGGGGGTGCGTGCGGCGAAATCATGGTGGTGAACCAGTGGTTGAGGGACGGTCATACTCTTGAGCAGCTCAAGGGTAGCACATTCTGCTCCGTCTGGGTGCCGGATCAGAAGGTCGGGAAGGTGGCGATTAAGGACCCTTGCAACGATGGCGGGAAGTGGGGTTGTCGGGAGTTTGTCAGCGGTTTGGGGGCCCATGCCGTCTTGGAAAAGGACGTGCTAGAGATTCCCGCTCGTTCAACCCTTACCGTTTGGCCTAAGGGTCACCACCAGGTCACTTTCGACTGTGTCGTATCTACCTAACTTGATTAGCGTGGGGGTTAGCGTGGAGGCCAATGTCGATAGACCCACTCTCCTGTATTTAAACACTCCTCCCTCGCATCTTCACTCTAGCAACCTTCTTCACTTTAACCACTCTTCAACTATCTACACTTTACCGTTCTTCTCCGTAGCAACATTTGTTCAATATGACTTTGCCTACTTTTCCTTCAGAACTCATCGGTAAAATTCTATCTCGGCTCAACGTGGCGGACCTGCATTCGACGGCATTAACCTCGCCAGCCTTGCGCAAGGTGGCCAATTCCATTTTGTTCAAAGAGTTGGTTATTCCGAGTAATCGCTCCTCACTCAAGCTTTGTCAAGCATTGCTTCGCAATCCCGACCTGGGCCATGATGTACGGCATGTCAGTTTTGCCTATGCCGAGCGCCGCTACCCTTTCGAATATCTCCCGAACGTCCCCCATCCCGGTTCGTTGGGTCCGCGTGGCTTTCCAAGCCTACCATCTCCACCACTAAGTCAAAGCGACCTCGACCAAGCCCGTTACGTGCTACAGCATGCGGCGTCGCCGGTCCCCGATCGGGAAGTCGTATCGTGGAGCGCGTTGCTATCGGCCGGTAGCTTCCAAGCGGCGGCTGTTATTATCATCCTACTCTGCTCGAATCTACGGTCGTTGGAACTTAACCAGCCAGCATCCGACTTCCACTTCCCCCCATTCCTTTTGGTCAATCTCCCGGAGCTCCGAAATTTTACTCTAAAATGGCACAAGATACCGGTCGATAGCCCAGTGAGCTGGGACCACCCCGCCGACTATGATCTGGTCGTGGCTGCGCTGCAGAATCCGGTTATAGATTGCATTCGCCTTCATATAACAGACCCAGTAAGAGACACATCAGCTACAACCCTAGAAGACGCTTTGCGATCAATCCCGGAAGGGAGCTGCAAGGGGCCGCAGGCTCTTTACCTAGAAAAATCCTACCTCGTTAGCGCCTCGTTCGGAGTACTGCTTGAAAAATGCCCGCGACTGCATACTCTTGAAGCAGACCTCTATTGGGACGGATGCTCTTCTAACAGAACTATTGACTGTGCTACATTAGGCCGGCAGCTTGGGAAACTGCCGATGCTAAAGCACCTCGGATATAAGATCAAAATCTGGCCCTCTCAAGCAGCAGACCCGTCAATGACTGGTGGCGACCCCGACAGTGGAGATATGTGGGGCGTCAAGGGCCGGGTAGGCTCCTTGAAGCACTTGAAGCTAGAAACGCTTGAAATGTCGCTTGTGGTGTTGTTGGGATGGACGCCATCCAAACTCGATCAGTCTTTGGGGGATATACTCCCGCGCAACCTCCGAAGCCTCTGCCTTACGGATGACATGGGGGACTTTCTTTATTGGAAATGGGAGGGGGAAGACTTGCTCGGGGTTCTGTGTCCGTATATCGAGGCTCGGGATACGGCGCCGTCTCTAGAGCGCGTCGAGATGTCGCTGGTCTGGGATGAGGAGGGAGGTGTGCCGGGTGATATGCTGGAACCGCATAACCGGAGTCGGCTACGGGAGGTCTGCGCTACTGCGAGGGTACAATGCGCAATACTGGACCTTTAACTACGTCTAAGATATCTTGTTGCCTCGGATCAGAATTCGTCAGGTACGTCAAATGCCCCTCTATGCTGTAGACTTATGTGCTGATAGCACAGTCCGCTCGTATCAAACGTTCTCAAGCATACCTAGCAAATGTGAGTTTTGCAGCTTATGCAGGTGATGTGATTGCAGCCTTCGGTCTTTTCAATGACAGTTTTACACTTGGGGCGGTCTTTGAAGCCAAGTTGGCGCTTTGCTTTCTCGAATGCTGCATAGCCGCCCGATGCAATGTCCCGTTGATCGGCACAACTTAAAATATTGCCGTGAAGCTCGTGGCAAGACAGACAAATGACCTGGCAGTACTTTGAGCAAGTGTGGAAACCGGCGGAACTGGCGCGGTAGACTTGACCACAGCCTGGGGCTGGACAATGGCGAAGAGATTCTGTATGGGAGCGAATGTAGGAAGTGAATGATGCTTCGAAAAAGCTGTCGAAGGCGCTGGAAGACAAGTGATCTTGAAGTTCTTGAAGTGTAAAGAATGTATTGCAGTTGCCGGTGTCTCCTTGGCAGTGAATAAAAAAGCCGTTGGATCCAGTGCTAGCAGACGAACACAGGTTTTCGAAGCATTCAAGACAGTAAAGGTGATTACAGCGTGTTCGGATAGGGTTTTCAGCGTCAGTCCAGCAGATGCTACAGTCTTCATTTCTCTGCGCCTGAGTATCTTCAGTTTTTTGTAGGTTGCGATCGCGGATAATTCTCAGTGCAGTGTCGTAGATTTGTGTAGAGCCCGTAACCAATAGTCGTTTTGGTGTAGAGACTACGTTAATTGAGACAACATCGTTCCCTAGAGTATCGAGGAGACACCGAAACCCGCCGTGGCTTATCCACTAAAATTCTTCAGGGTCGAGTTCGATGGCACGCACGTTTGGCAAGTAGGACTTGACAATAGTAGTTAAGAAGTCTTGAACTTGGCTAAACGCCTTTGTCGGTCCGTAAAGTCGAAGCCGTGACTCATTGGTTCGGACAATAAGGACACCAAATTCTGTCTGTATTTCGTGGAAAGTACGAAGAGCAGTCCGGCTACTGAAGATAGGACTCTAAATAGCAGATTCGTTGGCTGTAGCGACGGTTCCCGACAAAATGTCTTCCAGTACCTCCCTGGCCTTTGAAAGACCTTCGACATTGTCGCCTTCGAGCTTAAGACTGGTATATCTCTTTCCATAGTCTGTATTTCGGTAGACATACAAACGTATGTGCTGTTGGGTCCAAGTAGCAATCTGTTTGTTAATGTCCGGTTTGACGACGTCGTAAATGTTGGTAGTTATCTTGAGCTTCACTGAAGTAATGGCTTGCACTGTGAGCCTGATGTATTTAGAGAAGGGTACCTTTTAGTTGTAAAGTTGCTTTACAGCCTTTCGGGCATCTTCCTCGTATTCGAACTGTGCCTTTGCTTTCATTCGTTTGACGCTGGAATCCTCACTGGCGCGGAAGAACTGAAGGGGGCCTATTTCCTGAAGAAGATCTTCAACAATAGCAGACGCTTCTTCGTTGCCAATAGTATAGCTCGGCTGGCTCAATTTGAAGTCGCGAGGCTTGTTGTTGGTAATCCGTATAGCGCCGTAGATGTTTCTCTCCGTTGTTTCCACGGGCATGTGTTTTAGGGTTACCACCCACGGAGAGTCCTAGAGACATGTGGTAAGTATGGGCGGGATAGAGTCCACTGCTTTTCCAAAAAGTTTATATGTGCCGTTGTTGAAACTATCAGCAACTTTTTTCGCGGTTCTCTGGTCCCTAAAACCGAGTTCGGCTCAACGGGAAGGCCTATACCACGAATAGACAACACCTTTGCAATTGATTCGTGAAGTCTGCGATGGTACGCGTTCGATTGGGGCGGTTGCCATTTTGTGATGTCTAAGTGCGACGGCGCCCCCCGACTCGATGAAATCCTTGAACGATTTTGCAAAGGATGGATCTTCCACTTTGGCGTCGGCACTTGAGTGATCGCGGCTATCCTAGGGAATTATGCGTATGCAAGAAATCGGTATTTGAAACCCTAGAGTTGTGTTGCACCCCAACGGCGCCACCCCCGAATTGGCGGCCTTTTTGCCAAATTCGACAGCCAATTAAGGAGATATCAGTGCCCACTGCGGGCGGGCGTCGATTTGGC